TTGTAGAACTGTCTAAGGAGATAGCATTTGTTGGGCATGCTCTTAGCAAGATACAAAGATTCTAATTTAGTCCATAAACCCAGAGTGCTAGTGATTTCTCCAACTTTCCTAATAACATCATTAGACAAGTGAAGAATAATGGAACTCCAAGCAATCTCATCTACTGCCTTCTATAGACACTAAATTCAGGTGGCCAAGTCCCATCTAAAGCAATAGCACACCTCTTTTGCAAACCATGTTCTAAAAGGTGCAAAAATGCATTGCCTAGGAGCAACGTGGATCGAAAATGCGTCGAATTCGAGAAATGCGCGAAAAATGAGTTTTCCATCTAAAAGGCCTACTTAAGGCGCGCATTATCCCGCCTAATCCCTTATTTTTAATCCTTTTTTTATGATATATTAAAAAATATATTTTTAAAAAATATATATTTTTATATAAAAATATATTTAATGTCTTAAAAATACGAAACACATTACAACGTTTATTCTTCGCATTGACACGTCTAACCTTGTTATTTTTGATTCTCGGTCTCGACGCATCGCAACGCATTACGCATTTTAGAACACTGGTTACAACAACAGAGCACTTATTTTCTGTCTCCATAAACTAAAGTCCCCAGTCCCCCTCCAAACTTCTACTTCAAACTTATATGCAGTAGACATTATTAAAAAAAAAAAAAGACAAGAGTCAAATAATATGCCACATAGTAACTAATAGGTATTTGCATTATGAGAAAAGAGTTCAAGAAATCACAGAATATGAAAAGTGCTAACAATTGATCAAACAGTAACAATAATTTCATGCAGGAAATGTCAATTCTTGAAAATGTTTAAGGTGTAGTAACCCTTTTATCCCTTACTCCCTCATATTCTCAGATCCTTAATGAGATCTTAGACAAAGGAAAGCAGGAGAGGATCACTTACCTTAATAACAAGTTCCAAGAGGTGACACATGATTCTGAAATAAAAGGGGGTCTCAGAGAATACCAAAAGCAGATGGGAAGAAGCCTCAGAACAAGTGCAGGAAGCAATGAGTTACACAGACTCGATGGAATCGAACGAGCTAACTCAACTTACCACGACTCAGTATGAGTCACCACGACTCAGTACTGAGTTGGATCAAGAATGCCACAAACTCAGTAGGAACACCAGATCAAAGAAGATGTCCCATAGGATAAACGATTTTCCAAAAAAGATTACACAAACCAATTTACAAAAAAAAAAAAAAACCTTAGAATATGTATGCTACATTTGGAAATTTGAATATTCAGGGATAAATTTTCGTGTATGTGATATTGGCTTTTGTGTTGTTCATGTATATTTGGAGACCGCCACCATTGAGATAAAATAAAGTCTCTTTTAGGAGACTGAATGAGTAAATAATAATTAGCTAACAATTCAAAGAAAATAACATCATTCTGGAGAAACAATCTGCATAATTGGTTGTATTGGTGTTAGTATTCCATGGCTTTATTTTATGATTTATGAATGATATTCTCTCCTTTGTTGATGTGTATTACTACTTCAAATGAGGAACTGATGTTCAAAGATTAATGTTACTAAGCATCTGTACAACATCTGGAATACATGCTTACGTTCTGCGCATGAATAGACATAGATGACACAGCACGTACTTCTCTTGTACTTATAGCTCAATTGATGTTTTTCTAAAGAGGAATTTGGTGTTACAGTTATACATTATTTTCATTATTTGTCAATATCTCATCTTGGAGTATAATAATGTTTCTTTGAATGGCAGGAAGACACCAGGAAAAAATTGGCTTCTTCTGATAATAAAGTTCGCCAACTGGAGGCTCAAATTCGCGAGGAGCAGCGTGCTTTTGCCAACAATAGAAAAGTATACTTGCTTCCTGTTGCCTGCTTTGATAATCTACTATATAAATAGTCTATTCATTCTCCTTGTGCCCTGATGATATCACTTTACTCCATAAGGTGGAAGAACTTGAGCATGAAAGGAAAAAGCTGAGGAAAGAACTTGAGCACGATAAGGTAGGATTTGCAATTTTATAAGTGAATCTCTACCAGAACCACAACTCTTACAGCCATTGATCTACTTTCCAATTAAATGAAAATGCATATAAAATGCTACTTGTAAAATAAAGTAAATGAAAAAAATAATGTATACCTACATAACAAAGAGGGAAGAGCATGGAGGGCTGAGTATGGAAGGGGAAGTCACCTTTGCATCTATCCTTTGTCAAAACAGTGCACAGGAGTGTGGGTCATTAAAATTTTTTGTATTGATTGTCACTTGATATATGAATATGCATAATCTTTCGATTTTCTTCTGTTCTTTGAACACGCTTTGATACCTTTCACTTTGTCCCAATGCTTGGCAAATCTTGATCATCAGTCTAATTTTTGTGAACCCAAGTTTATTTTTATTCTTATTTTTAATTGAAAATTTAATCTCAAATCAGTCAAACATTGGATTTTATGTCTATTTGCATTTGATGTGATTATAAATAAATTGAGTTGGGCTATCGAGGGCTCCACAAGAGTAACATAATTTAGTAAGTTAGCTTTATTGTGCCCGCATTATTATTATTATTATTATTATTATTATTATTATTATTATTATTATTATTATTATTATTATTATTATTATTAAAAGAAAAAAGAAATGTAGATACAAAATATTGAAGGTATATTTTTGGTGGCAGCACCTTTGAGGTTTAATTGGCGGATGTTATTCCGGTTGTCAATGATTTTAACATAGTTCATGATTTTTGCTATACCGATATTTATTTATATTTGTCAACCTAATAAGACGTGTGTTTTTTTATTAATGCTGATGCATTTTATATGTCCAATAATCTTATCTGCACAATTTATTTTCTGGTCTATTTATTAGTTTAGAAAACTAGTGCTTGTGTCATTTATCTTGGAGCTCCTTCATGCACAATTGTTTCTCATGTATCTAATCTTGTTGGCCCTGTAAGTAATTTTCCTTGTGGGAGCTATATCATTTCTCCATGTATTTCATGGAGTGTTGCTTATGAAATCTTGTTTGTAATTACGTTATTGGCTGACTGGAGTGGTGTATGTAGTGTAGTTTTCTCGCAAAAGTGGTAGGGACTTGCTCAACATGGAGAAGAAGAGAGCGGGTGTTATTGATTTTGTATATAGCTTTTATAATTAGCATCTTCTCTCACTAGTGTTTAGGAATTTTTTCTGCCATCAAAATAGTAAGTTAATAATTAAGAAAAGTTAGAAAGAATGCAGAGTGAGATGGGCTCCTCTACTACTAGAATGCTTATGCATTTTCACTTTCATGTAAACCAACTGTTAGTATTTATTCTATTGGTTGTGTTGTGATCCAATAGCAACTGCTCCCTTGAATATTTCCATTCTAAAATTATGTTTAGGTGGGCTATTTACATCAAAAAAATTTAAGTTTAGGCTTGTGAAATAAAGGCATAATTCTCTAATATGATTTTCCTCACTAGGATGCTATGGAGAAAGCAATAAAAAATAAAGTTGCGAAGGCAATTGTTCCTGCAATAGATGTCATGTTTCAAGCTTAAGGTTCGTAACTAATTGCTGTTACTCTTTATGATTTATTGTTACTTTGTTATCCTGCATAATAATGAGTATGGGTGAACAATAATGATTCAGTGAATTTGGGTCAAAGATAGTGCCACCAAAAAGAATATTGAAGATGCTTCCTGAACTTTTTGATCATCAAGATCAGAATGTTCGTGCTTCTTCCAAAAGACTAACACTAGAACTTTTTTTGGTTTAGATATTTGAAAATTTCTTTATTTTCCATAGCATACTTATTTTGTGTTTGTGATCTATGGGAACAGTCTCTTAACATTTTCTGATGTTTATTAAATGGATGCTTGATTCATTGCAGCTGTAGTGTGATCGAGGAGATTGCTATTTAAATATAAGGGACTTAAACTTTGAAGTTCTTTGTTTTTCTTAACTTTACCCCCTCTGATGTTTCCATATTTGGCTTGACTCCGTTCAGCTAAACTTTCAAATTCTCACCCCAAACAAGTTTGATTGCTTTTAATAATATTTTTTTTCCTGGATGGTTGGTTTGAAGTTGAATTGGTGTCTCAAATGATTAGACTTTTCATTTGTAAATGGGGGCCTTCACATCATTTTTGAAATCCAAAGTTGATAGAAACTTGCGACTAATTTTTATTCAGTTGGGGGAGTGGAAACTAAAACCTTTAATATCTATCATATTCTTCCGTAGAGGGAAAAGTTTGATGTTTATGAAACCCATCTTACTTAGAATCACAACAGATGTTTATGAAACCCATCTTACTTACAATCACAACATTCATATTTACATACATATACTTTTTGATGAAACAATTTAGCTCTGAAGATTAACTTTTCAACTTCCAGATAGATCAGATCGTGGCTATGGAGAACCATGTGTTCTCTTTATCCTTGAAGCCTTTACATCAGTGATGATGCACTAGAGTTGTGATCATCCACAACAAACATAATATGGCAACTGAATCTTTTAATCAATTGGCATCGTCGATCTATATATGCATTTTACTTATAGAAAATGTGTATTTATTATTTTGATTTTATCTTACGTATAATTCTTGAGTTTAGTCAAATGGAAACGGGAAATGGAACACGACTAAGAAATGTACATTCATGTTGGTCATTAAATACTATTATCTTCTGATGCTTGCAGGTTTTTGAAAGCAAGGAATTTTCATATCAAAAAAACAAAACGGATATGGGCTGATATGATCCAATGGAAGAAAGATTTTGGTACTGACAAAATTGCAGAGGTAAAACCTAATAATTTTCCCATGTGTAGCTTGGGCAAAATCACCTGATTATCTTCTGCTTGTATTCTTCTCTATTCCAGTTCTAGCTTTAGTGATGTTTCGTTTATAAATGCCTCCCTTCCACCAGGATTTTTAATTCCAAGAGATGAGTGAAGTTTCGAAGTATTACCCCCATGGTTATCATGGTGTCGATCGAGATGGAAGGCCTGTGTACATTGAAAGACTAGGGAAAGTTAACCCCAACAAATTTATGCAAGTTACCACCATTGACCATTATATTAAATACCACGTGAAAGAGTTTGAGAGAAGTTTTGTTCTTAAGTTCCCAGCTTGTACCATTGCTGCCAAAAAGCACATTGATTCGAACACAACAATTTTAGATGTTAATAGTGTGGTATGCTATATCCTGCTCGACTTTCATTTATTTAATTTTCTCACTTGTGCCGAATACATCTTTTATCAATCAGAGTTTGGGTTTACAATTTTATTCAGCTGGAGAATTACTTGACAGTCATCTTACTATGCATTCTTTTTGTTGTCATGGGATTTTGAGCCTCCTCAAATCCTACCTCATTCCCTCGGCTTCATCTGCAGAGTCCAAAGTGTTTTACCCGAAGATGAAAGGTGATTACCACGGGTATTTGTCCAAGTTCAAGACATGCTAAAGGAAGGAAGCCACTGAGACTACTTTGGTAGCATACAAGTCTGCTCATATGATTTATTTGTGTTAAGATGATGGGTTTTCTGCTCACGGATTCATTTATTATGAACCTTTTCTCACCTGTGTCAATATATAGTTTTATTTCTTTATAAATGTTTCGAAATTTTAATCCAATTACGCTAACATAAAACACTAATATCACCTTCAAAATAACACAACCTGTGCATTGCTCATTGAGCAGGCTGTATCAAAATCACTTACATCGTGAAAATGCTAAAGAAAAATGAAAACGGAAAATATATTTTCTTGGAACTTTGACAAGATAATCATACACTTATAATTTGACATGAAAGCATGTCTTATAAAATGTGAAATACACAAAGTTGTGCATAAATGGGTGTATATTTGTTAAGGGGCTGTTTGGTGCAGATTTTGAAGATGAGAAATAGATTTTTTGTGTATTATCTTCTGACACACGTAACACAGATTCTGCAGGTTGCTTTCAAATTGTTACCATTGGACCACGTAACGGTAAAAAAATGACTTGTAATCCAATTTTTAAGCTTTTCCAGACAAGCCTTGAGTGTTTTTTATTAGAAATTAATGAAAAATTATTTTCAAATTTGTATCAACATGGTTAAAGGTGTAGGGTAGATTTGAAATCTGTTGATGAGCTGACAAACAGAACTACAATGTTTCTTATCTCTGTGTCAATCTTTTGAACAGGAAGCTTTCATTGAAGGGCCTCTGATTCTGGAGTTGTTGGCTCGAAGGTACTCTCAATAGTTTGGTAAGTAAATTGTGTACTTGCGCTGAATGTTTTAATATGTTCACTATCTGTGTATAGTATGTTTTATTTATCAGGTTATTAATTTTATTTCTGTATTTGAATTGCGTGGTTGTGTGCAATAAAACTCATATGGATTGCTGTTGAGTCTTGTGAAACCACGGAGATCTCTCCGTGGTGCACTCTCCGTGCACCTCCCTAAATCAGATCTTTCCACGCCCATTTTCCATTTCCCTCGTAAAATTCATCTTCCTTCCCCAATTTTACTTCCCCTTTTCCTTACCCCAAACCTTTCAACAAAACTCCCAATGATTCTTGAATATCCAAATAAAAAAAAATCCTGTATTTGTTACACTCTTCGAGCTTCAAGAAAAGATTTATGAGTCATGCAACACCACAACTCACAGAAGCTGAATTTGAAGAGACCACTATCATTCACTTCCCCAAAGTCGGCATTTGGAGGTGATTACCACCGTTTCGATGCTGATTCTGATCGAGGAAAACCTAATCAAGATGATGATCAAGTTGTTGTTGTGAAGAATCCTTCTGTAAGTTTTCATTTTCTCATCTTCGTTATGCTGATTTATCTATTTACTTATTTTCCTTTTTAGTTTATGGAGCTGTAATTGAATTATAATTAAGAGACTTCAGCTTGTGTGGGATTATGATTTATACAGCATGTCAAGATCTGTTCTTTTCCTGAATATTGGAAACAATTTATTAGTTCAAATTTATGGTAATCATATAGGGGTTTCCAATATATGAAGAATCAAGTATTGTTATATAAAAACCTTGAATGAGTTGGAATTGAATTAGCAAATTTGTATGGATTGTAAGGGTTTTGACCTGTTTCATTTAGCTTCTTGTATTCATTAATCTTCCATTTTTTCTGTTGTATTTGAAGTGGGTTTGATTTCAATTCTTCTGGAGATGAGGGTGAGCCTAATTCTAGCATCTGGACATGTCTTTTTGTGCAATAGAAATAATTGGTTTTCTTCACTTTTGCTTAAGAATTTGAATATCCCATGTGTGCCTGTTTCTGCATGTTTATTGAGTTCGCAGGCTGCAGTTGAGAAATCCACTTCTGATGGGCTCACGGTTGAGGGTATAATTGTTAATGTTTGGAGCATATATGATGAGAATGAGAGAGATTGGAAAAGCCATGCATCTGCCATTGCTCAATCAATTCATCTTATCAAGACACGCCTGAGGTGCAACACATCCACAAAATGTTTCCATATGTTATTTGGTTTGTCATTTTCTCTTAATCTGAATGAGACTAGGTTCATTTACACACTGATGATTTGGACTCAATCTTACTAATGTTCTGTGTTTAGATTATTTGTCCAATTGTCTGGATGTTTCAAATGCAACAATTTGTTTTTGGTCATTGCCACATTAGATGTTTCAAACGCAATAATTGCAAAGAATCAAGCAAAACTTCTAAAAAAGAAAAAAATTCATTCAATTATGATCTCTGCATCATCAAAAATGCTCCTTAATAAATTCATGTATGCAATTTTTTTTTTTTGCAGGGGCACAAAAGGGAATACCAACAATTCTTCTCGAATTTTTTATTACAGTGTTCTAGAGCAATATCTTGGATTTCGAATTGCGGATGCTACTAATGTCAGTCGAAGTATGTTCCGCAAATCTTAATCTTATCTGACTAATAGACTAATAATTTTGTCATTTGTGTACTCTATTTAGGGGTGTCCTCAACTAAGATTTTGGTGGATTTTAAAAGATTATAAATCCTA